ACTTAACGCCAGTTTTGCATGATTTCTTGTAAAAATAAAAAATAAAAAAAAATGAAAAAGGGGACATAGGTTCTCGAAGGTACTCACCGGTACTCCTCTCAACCGCGTGATACACGACCCCCTGGGTCCCTCGCCCCAGCTCATCCCCAAGGTCGTAGAGGTCCTCGATCGGCTTCTCCCGCCTCTTCACCTCCCTGCCCCGCTGGTACGTGCGGTAGCGGTAGAGCCCCTCCTCCTCGTCCACGTGGAGGGTGCAGGAGGAGGAGGCCGTGCCGGCGAGGTTCGTCGCGGTGCAGCTGTACAGCCCGGCGTCCCTCTGGATCAGGTCGGTGAGGATGAGGGTGCAGCGGTCCGGAGCCTCCCAAAGGATCTAGGGCGGGGTCCGAACGCGGGGTGCAATCTCGGAACGGAGGACTTCCGTGGGTTTAGTATCAATTATACGTTCTAATATTACCAGTGGTTTAGCGTTACACGATCCCATCAGCCTACGTGAGGCAAATTGCTAATGGAAAACGCACGAGGCTACTCGAGAGAGAAAAATTCACAAGGCTAAACGAGAGCAGAAAATAAATAAGGCCGATACAAAGTGGAAAATAAATAAGGCCGATACAAAATGGAAAATAAATAAGGCCGATACAAAGTGGAAAATACAGATTATTCTTAACATAACGGGTGATCACGACCGGGAAGACAAAGACGATGTAAGTAGGCGACTCTAGATTCCATGGGGTTGCAAGGAGTCAATGCGTCAGGGGAGACAGTAGGGTCAGAAGGTAACCTCAGGTACCAAGTCGAAACGAGCAGTTCGAATTCGGGGGAAAAAGACGAGTCTCGACGCCGGTGAGTGAAGGACAAAGAAAGAAGAAGAAACCCCATCGCCCTAGGAACGCCTCCTTACGAGCTCCTCTACCTTGATCCTGGCAGACGACGCGAGCGGCAGCCAGTCCTTGTACCACTTTATGTCCGGGAACGGCACCCCCTCCACGCGGCACTCCAGCTTCAACGTCTTCCCCAGCAGCCCCCGCGTCTCCCGCAGGTGTTCCGAGAACCGCGGATGCTCCGAGATCCGGACCCGTACGCTCTGCCGCGCCTCCCCGTGCTCGTTCTTCGCCACGCACTCGTACTCTCCGACGTCCCGGTCCAGCATCCTACGGGGGAACGCAAGGGATGAACCCCCGAGGCGCGAGGTGAGGCGCAACGCGAGGCGCGACCCGAGGCGACCCCGACTGACCCGTTGATGAAGAGCGTGGCGCAGCCGTTGCGGGTGTAGCTGTGGCTGAATCTCCCGCCCATCTCTATGTGCTCCCCGTTCAAGTACCACTTCACGTCCGGCTTCGGGTATCCGTAGACGAACCAGCGCACGTTCGTCGGGTGATTCTTCACCCCGTACTGTACCTCTTGCTCTTGACTTAGGAATCTATTCGGGAAAATCCAAGCGTCTTTGCATCGAGCACCCACGAGATCGAAGACCCGGTTTCCTTCAGATTTCGCTTTTCCTGTGAGCTTGCAGGCACCTTGAGTCCACGAACGAACGACGTTAACGCAGCTATCGGTACTTCGTCATGCTTCTGACAGGCGAGAGGAGGTGAACCCGAAATGAGACACAATTTCTCTCTTTAACAAACCTTTATTGACTCAAGGTGGTACAAGCTCACAGGGACGAATAAGCGTCAGCGTTATCGAGGAGGAAAGAACTTTC